TATAATATAAAATGTATATATATATACATATATGTATATATATATATATATATATCTATATGTATATATATATTTATATATATATGTATATTTATGTATGCGTTGTGCGTTGTACGTTATACGTTATACGTTCTACGAATTATATAATAGGAGTGGCTGGGGTGTAGAAATGCATGCCTTGCAGGAGTCCTTACTTAGATCCAACAGCCCGTTCGGACATTGAACTGAATTTCAATGGCTCTATGCACTCTGTTCTCGCTCCTGACTCTCCCCTTATCGATTAGTCTATCAGGTTCAACCACTTGTTGTCATCTCGTTCCCTTTCTCCCGTGCACCATGCTGAGAATCGCCTATACCTTACCCACTTTCACCCATGTACTCGGTACACTGTGTTTAAATACTTCACCCAACTACCTGGTTTACTGTCTTGGATACATCACATATCTAACCCACTCACTGTGCTTAAATATCCACCTATCTACCCCATTCACTGTACTTAAATAACCACCTATCTACCCTATTTCACTGTGCTTAAATAGTCACCTATCTATCCCATTCACTGTGCTTAAATAACCACCTATCTATCCCATTCACTGTGCTTAAACATACTCATGATTCATCACTCATCCCTATCTGTCCTAACCTTTGTCTACACTCTCGCCCGCTGGTGCAGTCGGATATCGATGAAGAAAAGTACCACAACAAAATATCCGCCTCGCCGTGGTGGCGCACATGTATTACCATGACAACCGAAGTCCTGGGCTTGGCCGTGATTGCTATGCCTGAAGCATCGGCCAAGGCATGTCCACAATGCGCGAGTGGTTTCAAATCTGTGACACCTTGTGTATATATACCCGTGGGTATGACTATTTGGGTTCTGTATATTCTTGTGCGACCAAAGAGTCACTGTGTTACCGCTCAGGGAGATACCGAACTGTCTCTGAGCATGCGCAGGTTTAGAAGATTCTCGATTGATGGAACAACCGAAGAGTCTCCATCTGGCATGCGCTACTTTTTTTAATACTTTTCTTTAGACCCACAAACCACTTTGTTGCACGTATCCTACCAATAATTGGTATGATACTCCTGGCTGGCTGTCGCTATTGGTACTTGCATACTTAGATTGGCCGGTGGTCACTAATTTTTGTAGATGGTGAGTTACCATTGGCTGGTTGTCGCGATTAATTCTAATTATAGATGTCTTACCTACCTAAAAAGGTTGGCTGGTTGTCGCGATTAGTTCTAATTATAAATGTCTTACTTACCTACACAGATTGGGTGGTTGTCGCTGGTAGTTCTAGTTATAGCTCTGGGCTTCTTGGCGACGTGGACGGGTCTGCTGCTGCGGGATATAAAACTACGACACAGAAAAAGTATACATGAGGTACACAGACATCGATGAAGGCAGCGTTTGCTCACTTACCGTCACATGTACTATAGCTATTCCTTGTGTTTAGAGACGCTGCGTGCTTTGATACAGAGCCATTTGCGTGTCATGCCGACACTGTTGTAGACACCCGCAGTAGTGTACATACACAGATGTTCTGGCTGTATATGGTTGTTCACATAAAGTGAGGATAGAGTGGCACTGAATTGAAGATAATCATTCGGTGCCATGGACCTCCACAGAGAAAGTCGGGGCACAATGTCAGGTCATAAGAACTCGGAAGAGAATCTGTAGTTGGACTGTACCCGTATGAGCTCTCTATTATTTTCTCGTTTGATGTAACATTCAACAGCACAAAGAGTCTTGCAAGCCTCGCGAAACCGGCAATCTGTGCCTTCAAACAAATCTAGTTACACCACTAACGCGTTCAACCCGTTTAATTTATTCGGTACTGTCTACAGTATTCGGATGTGGCGAAAATGATGTTTGGTACCGCCGGTGGTCGCATTATTTCCTTCTGGATGTATATCAGTGTTTTCTCCGAAGCCGCTGCACAGGTACGAATATACACACACACACACATATATATATATATTGTATATTGAAATAATAAGCATCGCCGAGAGCTCGGGTCTGCATTATATTCGTTTAAGCTTTGCCCATTTAGCGTATCGGCGTCTACTCCATGCTCACAGTAGTTCTGGTCGGCGGAATGGCAATTGTGAACAAGACAGGAGGCAAAAAAAGTTACAAGTGTTCAGTTAGTTAGTACGTACGCATGTCTCTAAAATATCAACCTCACGCTGTCAGCATATCATATTACTGTGTAATTATTCGTGTATGTGTCCATATGTGTATAAATACATATTTATATATATATGTATATGTATATATATATATATATATATATATATATATGTGTGTGTGTGTACGTATATATATAAATATATATTTTTTATGTGTGTGTGATTGTTAGGATATATATCTCATCCTATCTCTTCCATATTATCGTAGATTCTGACAGGTGGTATAGCGCTCGTGAACATTACAGAAGGCAAACAGTGCCTGGCCCTGTGCATCTCTGCGGCTGCGTTCATTGGCTGTCTTTTAACTCAATTGCGGACCTTTCACGCTCTCACAGTTGTGAGTATCGTTGGACTTGTCACTATTGTGATACCCCTTATGACTACCGTCATTGCTCTACCCTTGCAAAGTAAGTATATATACATATAAAGTAAACACGTGTGTCTGTGTCCGTGTATTAATCTATGAATTTATGGAGCGGATGTTTTCTATGCGTTGGGGGTCTGTTATTGCAGTTACATGCTGCAGCAGTGATTCTCCTCAGTGTGATTACTATTCTGGGAACATCCGTGACAACTTCGCACGCCGTGTCTTTGCGAAGTAAAATAGAAAGATGTGTGAGACGTGTTTCTCATGAACATATTTTCTACTCTACTTTATATCTGTGGCAAGCGCGATACCTACTGGATGTTCACAGAATCAACAACCGTTTATCGTACCGCATATATTAACAAATTTAATTGTACCACATACCCGCAGATGTGAACCACCGGGCGAACGCGTACGCTGTGGCTGTTGTCACAGATGCATCCTTCAAGGATATTTTTAACGCCATCATGACGGTGGTGTTTGGCTATGGAGGGCATGTGTTCTATTTCGCCTTCATGTCTGAGATGAAGAATCCGGCTGACTTCAAAAAGGCCTTGTTCGTCTCTCAGGTATATGGGTAGTATATATAGATTACAATATCGTATATATATATATATATATATGTGTGTGTAAACGTTTATCTGTGGCCACAGATGAGCCCTCTATGGATATCTTATCGCCATCATGCCAGTGCTGTTTGGCTATGGCAGGTATTTGTTGCGTTGTGCCTTCATGTGTAATCTGGAGAATTCTACCGAACTTTTACGGTTTCACTAAACCCAAAACCCTAACATCAGAGCATACTTTAGTTGTTTTGCAGATAAATGGATGATCTATGAAAGGTGACACAATCAGTGCCTGATAATATAATACAAATTGTCGTATCCGTACCAAATCGCTATAGGTACTATAGTACTCATGTCATGCACTCTGCCCGTGTGCCAACAACCGTTCCCAGCCACCTGCCTTACCTGTATGTATCTTTACAGTGAACACGAGTCACTTCTTCTGTGTCATCAGCTACGCTCATGTACATGCAAGCGGTTTCCCCTCGATCTGGCTACTGCCGTATCATCTGTATACGCGATACCCTCTCATACACCCCTTACTATTCATCTTTTCCGAACCTTCTCGGTAGTCTATCACGGTAACCATCTTCCTGCTATCGGCTACGCTAATCTACGTCTACGCTGGGCCTACGGTAGAAGCACCGGCGGTGGACTCTCTCGAATCATTAAACCTGCGCCGTCTCATGCATGTCTTCCTGCTTTGTCATACGGTGGTGGTGTGCGCTATAGCCATGATTACTCTGATGAAGTCCTTGTACCCCATACGTAAGTGTACTTGGTGATTGACTATTGTCGTAACAGTATAAATGTGTATATGCATATATATACGTATGTTTATGTATATATATATATATCCTATATATATATATATATGCTACGTATATATATATACATATATACATACATATACATATATATATATACATATATATATATATATATATATTTATATATATATATATATATATGTGTGTATGTGTATGTGTATGTTATTTGTATGTATTTGTTGTATACATATATGTATATATGTATTCATAATAATTTATATTTATAAATGCTTTAATGATATCTGCCCTTATTAGTGCACAGTGGGAAGAAAGATACTGTGTAGACACTATAGACGACCATCAACTACCTATGCCTGACTTCTATAGTGACGATATGGCATCTTTTCATTCGAGCCTGCTGTCCATCTGAAACCATACCCTCTCGCTATGCATTGACAATCCAGCTACATATACACCTACATACATTCTCCCCCCCCCCCCTTCCTCCTTATACTCATCTACAAACTTGAACAAGCCTTACACACACCTACATCATTCGCTGCTACACATACTACAGTGTACAGTTGGAAGGAGTATACTATCTGGACACCGCAGACAGCCATCAAGTACCTGAGCCTCTCCTCACTACTGTTCATCTGTGGCTACGTGGTCGTTGAGCTCATTCCGTTCATGGATGACTTCTTGGCGATGGTCTCGGCGGTCACCATCTTGCCGTTTACATTTATCCTGCCGCCGCTGTTTACGTTGATTGACAAACGACGGTGAGAGAGGATTTGTTTATGGCGATATGTATACGTACATTCGTGCGTGATAGATATTGCGTGTGATGAGTATGATTGTAGTATACAGACGTTTACTGATATATAGACATATATTACATAGACTTTTGTACTGTCAACATACAAGCATTTAAAGCTGTTATCTGCTCACCATTAACCACGAAATCGCGTATAATTTTGTGTGGTTGAAGTACACTTACTCGTAGTTTTATCGCCCAACCGCGTTCGAGAATCGCATACCTATATAACTAGACACGCGCGGCTTTTCTCGTAGGAAAATAAATTGATGCTACCTCCATATACCTACCTATAGCACCTCCCGCCTTGGTTTATAATCAACCCCTGAAACCTGAAACCCAAAATCCAATCCCTTTTCTCAGAATGATCACCAAGGAAGGAAGGACGCCGACACGGAGCGAGTCGTCATACATGTTCTTCTGCGGGGCTGTTGTCATGGGTGGCGTCATGCTAGCCTTTGCAGGTATGCCCAAGAGGACTTCTATACCTGACGTCTCGACACCTTGTAGCGGATTATAAGTGTACATGAATATACACATGTATCTAGAGATACGATTGGGTGTGTATATAAGTGTAATGGTAATACATTTTGGTGTATTTATGTGTAAAAGAATGGGATTCAGTGTGTATAAGTGTAATAAAAATTTGATTGAGTATGTACAAGTGTAATAAAGATGTGATTGGGTGTGTATATGTGCGATAATGAGCAGATATATAGGTATGGTTACGTACGCTGGCTTAGTTGTGTGTACATACACATATACACACCCGTACATGTTTAAGCCATATGCTATAATTCTCAGTTCCATGGGTAGCATTGCGCGTATGTATGCCTATTTGCTTATTAGAACAAAATCATGTTCCGATCCCGTCTTTGAGCAAACCCTAAAACCCTAAACTACACGCCCCGATTTCAAAGAGGACTACCCGCCCAGCTGTTCCATCGAACTGCTCTCTGTCTCTAGCCTTACCAAACCACTACGCAGTTGTTTTAGTTCGGTTCTGCCTAGCTATCGAGTTTAGGGTTTACGGTTATGTTGAACCTATACCTCAACTGATGCTCTCCACTGCTGTAGCTTTCTATACCTTTCTCCTCTGCTGTAGCTTTCTATACCTTTCTCCTCTGCTGTAGTTTCTAAGTTGTTTTTTATACCAAAGCTTGTCATCACATACACACCTGTGTGTACCATGTATCATCTTTATCACCTGGCACTAACACCTGTCATCACACCCTTCTGTGTGTACCACTAACATTTGTCATTTCACACACACACACACACGTGCTTCCCTCCGGACAGGTACGACGTCTGCGTTTATGGACATAGTCGACAAATACACCAAGGGCGGGTATGGAGGGCCTTTCACCTGTGCCACAGAAGCGTACTATCCACTGCCCTTCCCCGAAGAGGAGCTCAGAGACAGATGATGGCTGTAGACAATCAACCACCTACACAACATTACCTGAAAGTAGGTACACAGTAGTATATCCCTGGGGGGTCTTTAGTGAGATGGGGATGACCCAGCGAGTGAGCGGGTGAGCAGGTTGGGGGTACACACGCACAGTTTATACTTCGTGGGTCAACAGGGTATAGGGATAGGCAGATAATGCACCCGGCTGCGGGGATGTTTGAGAGGGGTCTGGGCGTAGGGTTCTACACCATACAGCTCATCTCCAGTATCCTGTGTGCATTATTGGTCCGTTCTGTGAGTGTGTTCGGAGTGTCTCTCAGTGGGGAACCGCTGCATCGCTTCATCCCTACAAACGTATGCTCAGAGCAGCTGACAGACACCTCGGTCATTGATTGGCCTAGACCGTCGCACGCGATGGCATGCCCAGCCCACAGTACAGTCTCAATGCCATACACAGACAACCTCTTGCCGTTCTGACTGGACCCACACTGTGTGGTGGTACACAGATACGGCGGAAATGGTGGGTGGCTACATAATTGATATTTTTGAGAATGTACCTGAATGGCAACGTATTGCCGATAAAAACCTTAAAACTCTAAACCCCTTATACTGAGCTACAACCGCACAATACTGCACCTTTGCGCTGTGGTAGTAGTTGGTGGGGGCTATCCCGAGAGAGACAATTCCTTCACTTGTACACCGAACGGCAATACCACTCCCATACGAGAGGTAAGAGATGGCTGTACTGCAGCATTGGGAGTAGGTTGAATACACATAGCGTCGATAGTCAGTGTGACTGTGCGTGACGGATGCGGATGACTGGGCGACAGAGGAACTATTGATTATAGATCAATACATACGGACGGGTGACTGAGCTCGATGGATGTCATGGTGTATACCAAGTAGGTGGAATAGCTAGTTGTTATTATACGCGGGTAGATGGACTGTGAAGTTTGTGTATATAAGTACCCACAGTCACCACTGTGTGGTGACTAGCGCTCATTCGTATGTACACTATATCTGTGTATGCTACGTAACTGCATTTGAAGCCGGTGTTGCATAGTCGTCCTTGGACTTGTCCTGCCACGGTTGCCTGTAAACAGATCTCTGCGTCCGATGCACCTAGTCCTGGGTGCATGGGCGCAGACATTCCCAAACACCTTAATCACTGGAGGATTCAGGGGAGGTATTACGGGTACGGCCCTGGGATGATACGTACACCAAATGTGCGCGCAGCACGTCCCACTGCGTGCTGGCCATTGCTATTGAGGACCAGCTGTGTGTGTTCACCTCAATAAAGTGTAGTCAACCATGCGAAGCAACGAAACCACATCCTGCGGTACTCAGTTAAGCGTATCCTTTTGTTTAGAGAGGTCCAGGCTATTTAATGTTTGAGATCTGATTACTTTTATTGACCAAAGGGTTGGTTGGTGAAGAGTGTGATAGGACACTCCTAACTAATTCGACAGTTCGGCAGTGTCGAGTATCGCTGCCGAGGTCAGTCAACACCGCAGTATACTCACGCCGACGGCAAGTAGAGATCGTAACAAGCTACCAGCAATATCTTCATTCGCATATTAGAGCCTGTCCCACTTTTCACTTCGCCTGTCAATGAAAATTGTATCTATTTCTGAATTATAAGCAAGCTATATATATATATATATATATATA